ATGAGTACAATGTGGGGCTTTTCAAGGGTCGGAACAGGTCCAGCACGATCTGCACTGCTCAGGATCAGGAACAGCCTCTTTGCCAGTGTCCTGTCAAAGCTGACAAGTGAGTTTATCCAAGGCTTGCAATATGAGCATAAGACACAGGTGTCTGATTTCCTCATTACCTATGGTGTCTGCTGAGGGTAAGGAGAATGACATGTGGTACCTTTACAATATTTTTTTAAAAACTGGGAAGTCACCTGGTGTTAGTAATGTTTAGTGAGCTGTGTTTTCAAGATAAAATCTACTGTCCAGTCACAGGCAAAATGCTCTTCAGTACGGAGGTGCCATTAACATGCAATTTTTCATTGAATACTATTAACGAAAATTGGAAGCTCTGTGTAAAAATCCCTGCCACTCTTCCATATATTTGATACTCTAGAATTAACTTGCACCCCCAGGAATCTTATTTTAGATCTACATAGAAAATATTTACCTATACATATAACATAGAAAATAATATTAGATATGTATATCTCAAATGGACAAGAGCCGAGGTAAATGTGACCAATGTCCTGGGTCAGTAATAATAATTAAGAATGCAAACTAAAAGTACAGCTTCTGACTAATATTAATTCTTTTTTTTTCCTTGAAAAAATGAGAATGGAAAGTAAACACTGTTTTATGGACTCCTTATTAATTCACAGTGTTCTGCAAGACTGTAGTTTTATTCTTGGCATCTTCATAACATTTTGAAATGAGTAATTCTAGCAATACAAAATTTTGGAGTAAAATCTCAGATTTTTTTATTGTGAAATCTTCAAATTTTCCTACATTATTTTCCACTTTTAAGTCACTGCCTATATGAAGTAAGAACTTACAAATTCACTGGAAACTGATTCAGTTTTTCACTGTGCAGGAACTCCTACTATTTATGCAGTTTTCATTGATGATTTTTCTTTGGTTCTGTATTCTGTGAGATTCTTTTTAAGGAGAAAGACTTCTTTCTCCTCTCTTATTCTTTAATCCTTTTGAATGATTTTTTTTAGAGCTCTTTATAGATTTTTTCAAAGTACAAAGTAGAATAAAAGGTCAAATAAGCAACTCATAGATATCAAACTTTATCAATGTAGGTACTGAATCATGAAAACAGGTGGGTGGGAGTGCTAGACACATAACCCATCACAACTTGAGGAAGGGTGAGTGAAGTAGCTGGAAATGCTGGAAGTGGGACCTTTTCCCTTCCTTCTAATCCCAAGTCTTGGTTCTTCCTGGCCAAATTGAGGAGGTCACTTTTTTTATTTGAGGATACTCAAGTCTGACCCCAGGACACTGCTTTGGCTCTCATAAAGAAGTGGGGAAATACATTATCACAGAGCTTTCAGTCTGGCCTGCCCAAAAGGCCTTGTCTGCTAAGTAAAATGAAAAGTATCCCCAGGGAAATAAGTCCAGTTCTGTTGAATGAAGAATGTGAGTATTTGCTATGATGTTCCCTAATAGGAATTGCAGCTGAAATCAATGCTTTAAGTCAGGTATAGGAAAGGAGGACTACTCTTTTTCTATTCTCAGCTGCACCACTATGTTTCAAAAGCACTTTGGGTCAAAATGCTGTCTCAGGCTGGAATTTCATCTTTCCAAAATGCTTCTGTCTTATTCTATCTGATGCAAAAGGCTTCTAGGAGTTGCCTTTGTAATGCCCACTAATGTTCTCCCAAGTCATTGGTAGACACGTGTTGACCATGCTGCTGTCTGAAAAGGGACTTGTTACTTATCATGGCAAGTTTGTGCAGGCCATAATCTGCATACTGTCTTCTAAAGAAAGATGGCTTATGCCAAATTTTTTTTCCTCCTACCCTGAAAATCAAGCTTCACTCTGAAAAAAAGCACCAGTAACTGTTTATTCAAGCTTTTAGTAGTCAGTCATCTCGCTATTGATAATTCCTTAGTTTTTACTTTGATCAGGAGACACTTAACAAATCCAACAGAGTGTTGTCTATTCTTTCATTAAACTAAAAACCTAGATCAGTAATACAACATAAATTGAATAATTGCCTGTTTTCCAAATTCTGTGCTATACCTTTCATGTGTAATTGATACAGACTACCTGATCTCTCTGTGGAGTAGAGGACAGCATAGAAATTCAGCTTAGTCATGCCTTTCCTGTGTGGCATTCTCAGGACATAGATGGCATAATTGAATACAGACATCTTAGTTTAAAAGCCATCTTTTAAGTTTCATCCAGTCCTAGTAATTCGTGTACAGTCCCATGGGCTGTATCCAAGGATTATGCTAATTTTATTAGCAACTCCTCTTGCTTTAATTAAACTGTATAAATTCCCATCTGGTCACTGTTGTGCCAACACCCTTCTTTCCTCTTTTATTTTAATGTATAGATAATTTGTGGTTTGCATTTCAATTCTGATTTCCTGAATTATCTATCGTGTTTTCCACACGAAATAACACAATTTTGAGGGGTGAACTGGACTTCAAATTGAGCTAATGGGTTTGAGGGGATCTCTGTATCAAAGCAAATACCCAAGTTTCTAAAGTTGGCCAGGTCTTTCTTGGAGCAGGTCATCAAAGTAACTTGCCCTGTTGAAAGCACCAACCTATATGGTGCTGTTCAAAATACCTAAAAGCAATATCTGTATGAACATTTACTGTGTTTATATCACAAAGCAGAGCAATGTGAATTCCTTAGTGGACTGTTAATTTATATGTTATACACTTTCAAATATTTCCAAAAGCAAATGTGAAATGATTAGTAATCTGTTCACATGCTCACAAAATGTTATTAGCAAAATGCCTTGGGCAGTGTGTTATGTTGACTAAAATTGATAATTTTGTATTTTAAAACTAAAGCAACTCCCACTGCCCCTGAATAATTTTAGGACCTGCCCAGAGCCCAGACTCCTGGTCACACCACTTCTCAAGGTGTGTGTTGAGCTGAGGGGGAAAAAACCAAGGAACCCACAAACAGCAATATCCCCCATCCAGAGCAGTGACCTAAGGGTTGATTGATTCAGCTCTTCTGAAAGCCTCAATTAAAGTTTTCTGTGGAGTCCTGCATTTTAAAATAGCTTGTTATCTATGAAATAACTGTGAGGAGGTGATTCTGTTGTTTACCACTTGTTCTGCTTATGTAAGCTTTAAAGTGTTTATGTTGCTCAGAAACAATCAAGCCTGATGGTTCCTTTTCCTTCTACATAACTGTCTGTCACCAGCTGTGTGTGGTTCTGACAGAGCCAAAGCCCTGGACAAAACGTTGAGGTTGTTCTTTTTTTTGAAGAGCACCAGAGAGCAAGCTATTTAATGGTGTTCACTAATGTATCTCTTTTTTTTGGATAATGGTTTCCATGCCTTGCAGACACAAATATAACATGACACTTCCTCCTAAATACCAATTATTCTGTCCAGAAGAGTTGCCCAAAAGTCTACTCCTCAAAGTTTCACACCAGACTCACATGGGATAATAAAATTCAATAAAGGCTGTGGTGATAGTAAGATTGTACAAAAAGCCTATGCTATAACTGAGTATTGTTTGTATGGGTGCAAAACACATTCCAGCAATTTACATTTACAGCTATGAAGTAATTGAATAAGAAATGCATCATCATTTTCTTTTTTAGCACATAGGTGAATTATTTTACCAACATGTGAAGAGGTGTTCATATAACATCATGGTGCTTTGTGCTAGAGAAAAACAATTACAGTGAATAAGGTAGAATGGCTCTGTTATTGCAGTACATAAGACTTTGATTACATACTGCCAAGATTCATACCAGCCTAGTAGTTGTTGACAGATAAAGTAACAAAAATGAAACTCATTTATTTTTCCTTTATTGAGACCTCAAGGTAAAGCAAATTTTCAGTTCTTGTACTTACTACATTGAAGGAACAGAGACTGACAGTCAAAATGTGCCAGTCCAGAAATATAAATTAAACCTAGTTTCATATCAAAGTTTCATTTAGTCTCTGAAAAGGAGCTGCTGCTTGGATTATTTTTGATCCTAAAACAAATACACTGTAGACAACTGTAGTGTATATTGGATGAATTAACCCCCTCATACATTTAGCTTTTATGCATTTTCCAGGATATGCATCCATGTCTATTCAAGCAATTAAAACATTTGTTATGGACTTAATTATTTTACTTCTTTTCCTCCTATTTAATAACAATTTACAGTGTTTTCAAACCCAGTGAACACGTAGATAGTTTTAATAGAGTGTAGCGCTTTCGCTGAAGAAAATACATATTTTGAGTAAAAAGCCTTCCCTCCCTGCTTGTGTAAGGGAAATTCTTCTGGCTTTTACCATCACTTTTTCCAGGCAGCTATATACTGTATTATTTTATGATAATTCTAACAAATTATTTTTTTGTAAATTTGTTTATTTTCTAAAGGACAGATAAAAGCAGCTGTTAAAATAGCCAGATACTAAAATGAGTGGGTTTATCCCATCAAAATCTTGCATTAGTTACCTAGTCCAACTGAACATAATTGCTGTTCAGATTAATGAGGCAGTATCCTGGTATCTCCTCCGTAATTAAACACTTCTCTGGTTCAATACAGTATTAAAGATGCACCAGACGTTGAAACCTCAGTGGTGAAATTTAAAACTGTTGAAATTGGAGAGGTCAGCTGTGAAATACAAATTCCTTTGCAGTATGGAAAATTCACTAGTAAGGTGTGTATTCTTATTCAAGAATAATTTGACTTATGTTGGAGATGCTGAATTTGTAAAAATTTTTCTTATCTTTCTGCCATCTAAATGTGAGATTTTTTTTCATTAGTTCCTGAGAAAAAGTAACATAAAGTGCACTTGTTTCCAGAATTACCTTTTCTGACCTTTCACAAGATGATTGCAGTACCAGTAGGCTTAGAGGACTTGTTAAAAAAAATTAAGCTTGTAAAGTAGCAAAAAATGCCCCTTTGCTTGCTGGTGTCGATTTCAAAATTAACATTTTAGTTCATGTGCTTCTAATAATCGCTGACCCTTACTTCATGTGCTTTCCACAGGAAATGAATACAGCAGAAATTACTTTGACCCGTTGATGGGTGAGGAAATAAACCCAAGGCAGTGTGGGATGGAGGTCAGTGAGGAAGGTGAGGCAGAATTAAGTATGTAATTTTGGTGTCAGAATATTCTTTTCCATTCATGAAAATGAGGTGTCAGAGATCACATATGCAGTTCTATTTAAATATTGAGGTTTACAATTTAAATTCTAAGCCTTAACTGCTCTGAACACGATAGGCAGTATACACAGACTTTTTGATCAAGGACAGTGAGTTAATGGGCAGATAAAAATGAGGCTGTTCTGTATTCTCTCTGCTACTGTAGCAAAATGAAGCACGCTCTGAGAGCGTTGTCTACACCATGTTCTTTTTAATTAATGAAGTTAGTCCAGAACTGAGCGCTAAGCTCTATCTTTCTCACAATCCTGCTCCGAAAGTCCTCCTCGGAGAGCAATTTTATTACAGAGTTGAATGTGTGTTTGCCTAACAGAAGGAAACCCCAGAGTTAGTAAAAGTGCACGCGGAGGCTTTTTGTTTTCTTTTTTGCCATTTAGGCGAGATATTTAGCTTTGCTCTCTGTGGGCGATAGCAGCCAGTGGGAGGGTGTGACTCTGCAGAGCTGGAAGAACAGAAGTTATGCATAGGTATGAGAGAGATTAACCAGGAGGTATTGTCTAGCAGAGGAAATTCTCCTCTGCTGTCACGGCTTTTAGATAAAAAGGGTGGGAACGGGCCTGCCTGAATTTGCATGGACTTAAGTAAGAACATCAGCATGGTAATGAAGTGCTTAGCTATGCACTGAGTGCTTTGGCCCGGCTCCTGTTGTTAAGCACTAACAAGCCGAAAGCACGCAAGAGCCAGCTCTCCTGTTACCTTGCTAGCCCTTTGCTTCTCTAGAGCCTGTGCTTATTCGTACTGCAGACTCTCTAGGTGCGCAGCTGTAGTCCTATCTAAAAAAAGTTATCTATTGTGTCTCAAAGTTGCTCACTTCTGAAAGTCATGAAAAACTCTGAGCACACATGGAGATTTTAAACTTTTGAGATAAAAACCTGTGAAAAAAGCAGGCTCTTGTGTATAACTGACTTGAATTTCTGTGCTCTGGTGAAAAAAACAAAACAAAACAAAACAAGGTTGATCAAGTTTGAATTACATCTAATCCAAATAATTTCCCCATTCATTGTGTAGGATAGTAGTGTAATACCTTGGAAGTCAACTTCTGGCTCAGAGTTTTTAAAGGAAAGATTTTTTTCCTGTTGGTCCTGCCTTGGTTCATCTTATGAAAAGGCTTTATGAGTCATGATCTGCTTCATAACCAGAGAATAAAAAGCAGATTAGATTTATGTATCTCTGCATGTATGCCTGAAATCATGTAACGACAGAGCGGTGACATAAGGGATATATGGAAATACAGTTCTCATTGGGAGGAAATGTTCTCTTGACTGTGTTGAAGAGGCGGAGTGATGGACTTAACCATAAATGCTGATTTTGTATTGTATGGTGAGGGTTTATTTATTTTAGAATTTGGAACACGCTTTTAGTCCATTGGCTTCCAGGGTTTGAAGTGGAGAGATGGTTTTAGTCAATCGCATATCACGCTAAACCTGAGGTCCATGTGTGAAGAGCTCTTTTGGTGGTCCTCCTTTTTCTCCCTGGCAAAAATGTTGCTCAAATGTTGGAATAACTCTTGCTTATTAAAAGTCAAATAGCAATAGTACCAGCCTCAGGCTGGCTGTGTGGACCTCTGTAGAGCAGTTATAATGCTGTGTTTACCAATATCTCTGCCAAGAGCAAAACATTTACCTTGAAGATATTGAAAAGGTGCCTGGACATAGTCCTGGGCACCTTGGCTCTGTATGAGCAGGGATAACTGGGCCTTTCTACCTTAAGCAGTCTGATTTGTCAATACTTATAAACCAGGCTTGCTATCTGGCTTCTTTTTCCTTGAAGAGGTGCTAAATTAGTGGAAGTACATTTGTATGTAGCGGATGGATTAAACGAAGGGGGTCAGAACTGAAGCTTGGTCCTGCATGGTCATCCCTTGATTAGAAGCCATACTGGTTTACCTCTTTCCATTTAGCAGGCTCTCATGAGCAAGAGTCAAAACCAGAAAAACATGAATAAATTAGGGCACATGTTGAAGTTACACTTTTCTTAGAACTTTAGGAAGCCAGGCTCAATGACCAAAGAGAATATCTGGTGAAAAGCAAATCTTCAGACATTAACTATTATTTAATAGGTTATTCTGTGAATATGAAAATATTGGCAATTATCTTTCCTATATTTGATAAATTAGATTTCTTCTGGAAATTTGTAAGAGTCCATAATGCCCTGAGAGCAAGCAATGTCCCACTATGGATTTACTTGCCCTCTTGCCAAGGGAACATTTCAATGTTGCAGGCTAAAAGAAATGTAGAAGATTCTATACTTTCAGAAGAGCTTTGCAGAAGCCACTACCTTCTTTGAAAGATCAGTGTAACTGAAAAACTTGCCTCTGAAAAGAAATTTATTCTTTGAGAAACAGGAAAAATGAATTTATTCTTTGAGATTCTATTGAGCACTTAAAAAGAGCCACCCAAGCCTGCATGTAGCTGTACTTCAATCCTCCTGCCTTGTATGCATTTCTTTGGTCTTTTATCTGCCTGTCTTCACTGACAACTTAGAGAAGTCAAGGTCTGGGAGATCTGGAGACAAAATGGTCCCATTTGCTCATTTCTCCCTTGAATGTAGGACCTTTAAGTAATTTTTTTTTTCCAGGTCTCATGGAAAAGAGTAAGTGTACATGTCCTTTGCTGCTTTTTAAAATCTGCAGATATTACTGAAAATTTGAATGACTAACCAGCCACAAATTCAAAATTCATAGAGTGTTGTAATGAGTATGCATACTAGATAATGTGTTAATATTATGGACAGCAAGGTAAAATTTCTAATGAAGATCCAAAATCATGTTAGAATAAATTGGGTATTTTGATTTTCATTAAGAGTCAAATAGAATTCATCTGGCAATTTGAATATAAACAGTAATTTGAGTGACTCCATAGCAGAATTTATAAACCAGTTTCAGTCCAGATCAACATATAATATTGCCCACCATTTAAAAGTATATGACTAGATTTTTATTTTGAATTGTCTTGCTTCAAACAAGTGACTGTAATTTTATTCTGAGCTGTGAAACTAGCACTGTAAAAACTATCTTCATGCGTCAAAGGGCTTCCTAACTTTTGTATTTTTATATCTTTTCAATTTAAAATAGTATTTCCTGAAATACTACTGGAAGAAACTATAGCTGTTTCACTGTTGTTTTTTAAAGATCCTGTGAAATTTGATGAGCAAATCCTTTACTCTAAACTGATGAAGCTTCTAGATGAAGAAAACAAGATGCTGGACTTCCAAGGTAAATAACAAAGTCAATTGCATAAAGAAAAATAAAACTCTTTTGAGTCTGCATGTGGGGAGGAGAGAGGGTAATCCATCCCCTTGAACTCAGAAGTCAAAGGGATGATGATTTTAATGCAATTCTGTAAGGTCTTTTTCTCCAAATGTTTTTGTTTTGTGTCATGTTTATGTGGTTTTAACTGTAACTTAAGTGGCGTGCTTTCTCTAGATTGCTTCACTGCATGTTGAATTCCACACTTACTAAAGAAGACTGGAAATATCACTGCTTATGTGCTCAAATCTAGAAATAGAAATCCTTATTTAAGCTGATAAATGGGTAAGCAATTTGTCTGATGCACAGGTCATGTCACACTGTTTCAGGTTATCTATACAAGAATTTACACCAACAGATGAGTGAGAAAGTGTTTTCTGTGGCTTTGTTAGAAAATACAAATTGTTGCTCCATCTACAGTAAAAACAATTAAGTGTATGAGATTTCTTCACCTCAAGTGAACAGCCTTACTTTGATTTCACTCATTTTTAAAGCATTTAAGGCATTACTTAAAGCCTGGTTGATTCACGAGACCTTTACCATCTCAGCCTTTACACAAGGCCCATGTCTGTTGCTCTCTGGTTCATCCCAGGAGAAGTGACATATGTACAAGCCCAGGTCAGAGCTGTCCATGTATTTTTTGCCTATCCACCCCCTCCTTTTTCAGCACATGTCTTTTGTGCAAAATTATTTTGTGTCCTTTGTATCTGTGTGAGGCTTCCCGTTGTATTTCAGCAATACACGGGCCTAGTCTGTCAGAGAGACAGAGCCGGCGGTTGCCTGCGGCGCTGGAGCTCCAGGAGCTGCAACTTGTTCTATGACTATTTAGTTTATAAGCAACTTTGTTCTAGAGGAAGCAAATGTTTTCATTTGCCTACGGTTGCAAAATCTCTTGAACTGGCACTGGTCATATCAGTAACATCTTTGAAACCTGTTTTATCTCATTTTAAATGCGAGGAGAAAAAAGTGCAACCATCACAACTAAATTCATGCAGATAGTTTAAGCAAAAGCCTGTAACTTATTAGCAAGATCTCAATTGTTCTATGTTAACGTCAATTCTGGGACAAGAAAATGCATCAGCACGTGTGTCTCACTCTCCATGTGCACATCAGAGCCCCCTGTGCAGGCGTGAGGGCAGCAAATGGGGGACGCACTGCAGGCCACTGCTGTCCTGTGTCTCAGGCTGTGCCTCAGTGCTTTTACTTCTTAAAAGTGCCGTGATGGGTATCAGAGCTAATGCTGTGGGTGAAGCTGCACTCTGTTCTAGCTGAATTTATTACTTTTCTTTGCTTGGGTGAAGCAAATCGAGAAAAGAGAGATTCTCCTGGGGACGTGAAGTTTGTGCAGTTTTCACCTCTGTGCATATATCAGGGTGGATTTATTTATGCCTGTGTTTTTCCCTCCCAGTATTTGAACTAGTTGGTCACTTCCAACCCTTTTTTTTTTTTTTTTAACAAGGAGCAAGTCTCACAGGTATGACTTCCCTACCAGTTTTATGGAATTGGGCAGTTGAGCAGAGCAGACAAGCATTATTAATGTTTCCACCGAGGGAAAAGCTAATATGGGAGTTTGACCCTTATTAGCATCAGAAAAACCATAGAAAACTAGGATTCATTTGGTTCCACTCTTACAGAACTGCTTCGTTTCTTCATTTGGCCACTGAGCTGAAAAATCACGTAGTCATACAGTCCTAATTAATAGATGATCCCCAAAGGAAAGAACATGGCTCAGAATTTATATAATTATATATTTAAAGCATTTTGTGGCTGAGTAACCTGTTGGTCACTCTAGTGGTATATGTTATTTCATATTATAAGGCAACTTAAAATACAACATTCGTTATTTGTTTTTAAAGATATAGACTACATATTTTTACTTTGCATTTTTGTCAATATACAGTTGTGATCCATGAACATTTTAAATGATGATACATGAATGCCATAAAAAGTAATTTCTATTATATTGTTCTTTAGCAAGAACTAAAAAATTGAAGTGCCAAGTTTTGCATTACTTTAGTTGTCTGAACTTGGTGCATGAGCCTTCAGCACTGAACTTTATTAGATACAATTTGTGCCCGGTTTTCTAGACCAGGTAGCCAAAATTATTTTTCCATATGGAGTTTGTTGCAGCTTTATGCATCAAACCCATCCTGAGGTGTAGTCTGCTGCTGAATATACCCTTTAAATTATCATCTCACTATGTAAACTGCTGCTATCTGATGGGCAAATATAGAAGTAAATGAAGTCACAAACAGTCAAGCTAATACTGGAGAGATTGTTTTAATTACAGTCCAGCATCTGCGAATACAGCCTCTGTTGAAGTGATTTACACTACAAGAAAAACATGACTCTCAGGGTTAGGTACACCCAAAGCAATGAAAACTTTTCATGCCCATGCTAGCAACTTCAAGCAGCAAGTTTTTAGTTAGTTTATCAATCCATTAATGAATTTTCAGCCCTTTTATCCTCTGTGTACAAAGTAGTACAATTTTTAACTCTGGCTACTTTTGTAGAGCAAGGATTTGGTTGCTTTTCTTTAGGTCAAGTATTGCTCTGGGTCATGACCTCAATCCTCCAACCTGTGGATCAGTTCAAGCAGTTCAACCTGATGCTGACCAAGTTTGAAAGTTTCTTTGCAAAGACACTACGGAAGGAGCAGATCAGCTGGACTAGCCCTGTTCTCTCCTTGTTTCCAATGCAGGCAAACCAGCAACTGTGCTTAAATGAGCATATGTATATTTTAAGCAAATATTTTTCAAGTCTAAATTGTAATTTATTGCTTTATTTTTCGGAGTTGCTTTCCTTGAAAAGGTTTTTGGAAATGCTCTCTTTTGCTCTTTCTGGACAAAATTTATGCTACTGAGTCCAGTGTCTTCCACCAAAATTGAATTCACTAGATATAATTCCTCACAAAAATAAGAAACAGAAAAAAGAAAAAGTATATTTTGATGAATTGCTTCATGTTTATCTTTCTGAACCAAATGGTTTTATTCCCTTTTTGACTATTGCTGTACCCTGAATCTACTGACTTCCCAGGATGTAAACTTGCAGTGCTCCTGTGAAAGCAGTAAAGCAGCTGATTTATACCAGCTGAGCATATGGCCTGTTGTGTACAACACAGCATAAAGGGGAACAAGAGATGCTCCATCTTCTGCTTTTGGCAATGTTTCTTTTTCCTGTGCTTCCTGGGTTTTCTCTCTCCTAGCCAAAACCTTAATGTTACAGTAAATTTAAATGTAAATATTGTTTTGTTAATAGTTGTAGGTCAAATCACTTTTCATTAGGTTTGTAAAGTGCTACATGAAGAGATGTGTACCCTAAGGTAATGGTTTGGGTTGTTTATATCTACTGTACATTTCCCCCAACATGATTTTGAATTGTATCCTGTTGTAATTAAACAGAAAACCCACCCTACTTCCTGTGTGTTGGTGGCACCGAGGTGATTTAAGTACTCGGGAGGCTTAACAATTAAAGTCATTAAACAATGAGCAGTGAGCAAAACTGGAAATGTTAATAGCCTTAGTTTTATCTTTCCTTTTCTGGTCTTCATTAGAGAATGAAAGACTTCAAAGGAGTCTGAGGGAAAAAACCTCTCTTTTAACTGCTTTCATGTCGTAGGATGGACACAGAGAAGAAAATAACTAGATATGGACAAAGAGAAGCAAATAACTAGATATGGCAACTAGATATTTCTTTAAGAGATAGGCACAGACAACCATAAAAGCCTACACACAGGAATATGAAGCAAGACAGATAGATGTGGGCAATCTGATATCTGTTATTTTTTAGTGATCCTAATGTGGAGACGAGCAAAAATAGCTGTCATTATTTATGATCCAAACTAGTATTAGTACTATAGCAGATATCAATGAGAAGATCGAATTTTTTTTTAACATAGCGTGATCAATTAAACTGAAAAAAGACAAAGTTTCTCTTTAAGGCTGACTTTATGAATGAGATTTGTTTTTATTTATGTGGTGCATGTACTCTTTGGTTCTGCATATGTCACTGCAGTGAAATCAGGGGAGTGGTGTGGGTGAGAGCAGAACTGGACCAAATTAATTAGGCAGGAGCTGCATGCATACACCTAGGGAAAGGAATCTAATAATTTGGGGTGAGTTGAAAGGAAGATGAAATGCTTGATGTAGCTTCACCTAAAACTCCCATTCAATTGCAGTTATTACTCCTCTTCCTCAGGAAGGAATGCCAAAGTTGTTCCAAATCCCAATCCCTCTAAGATTAACAGGTGAGTAAAGTGCCAGTGGAAATGTAGATCATGCCTTTTAAAAAGTACCTAGGGAACAAGCTGCACATGCTAAATTTGTACCTGAATTCAGATGTTGCACTTGAGGACAGTTTTCCTGGTACTGGCACTTGGCACCTGTCAATTGTGTTACTGATGCTGTTTCATACTTTAAGTGTTGGTAGGCCAAACATACTAACTGAAAAGGTAGTAACCAGTGAATGAACTCCCATTTGCTGAGAGACAGTCTGCCACTTCTGTTTCAAGCAGCCCGTGTCGTCAGCGAAGATTTTCCGGACGCTGTAATGCCTGTCAGCTCTAGTAAGGCATGTGACCTTCACTGGGAGCTTGAAGATGAAGAGATTCCTTCATATATCGAACAGTTTGAGAGAGATGTTCAGGATGACATAATTCTGCTTGGCAGCTTTTCACTGGAACAGGTCAGAGTTAAGAACTATAAGACAATTTTATCACTTGCTTCATAACATGATGCTGGCTTGTTAACCTTGTACACCCCAATTCTATTTCTCTGCCGGGTGATACTTATATTGAAAGAGGAAAGGATAACCATTGTCATTGGCATGCTTTATGTGACTGGCACTTTGCTAAGCTAACAGCAGGACCTTTATCTTTGTCTCCATTTCAATGTGAATAAAAATAGATTGCCTTCATGGCTTCTTTCCTAAATAGTGGAGGATCTCTGACTGCTGTGTAGTAATATTGCAATTGAGTTTCAATCAAGAGACTAAGTCTAGGACATCTCTCTCTGCCACATTTAACAGAGGCTTATTCATCAGTGAGCAAGTTCGGATTGGAGCCCAGGCAGGATTTATGTAGCAATATTCATTGTACAGAGGATAAGATTATTTCCCCATTATAAATCTCTTATGTTTGTCAGGGTGGCTGAGCTTTATAAGGTTTTCTTTTTGTCATTTATGGCATAAAGAGACAGGTTCTGGTTCATGTTGACAAAGACACAAGTTTGCAGGGCTGAAATGATACTTGTGGGCACCTAATGACCATTTGTCCCTGTGAAAAATTTCATACTAAGACTAGAGGACAGGAAGAGAGATTAATTGATGAATCTATCATTTTTAATTAGCAACATGAGAACAGCTCACTGGCTCTGATGGGCTTAAAATAGGTTATCCAGTGACTGATGGTGATCTAAGCTTTCTTTTATTTTCAGTGGAAGTTTTTAGATTTTTTTTTTCCCCACTGCAGGACTAAACCTTTTCATTGCCTTCTGCATGATGGTGAGGGACACAATTCTCTTCCTTACTGCTTTCCTCTAAATCCTGTAGCTATATTTCATCCCTTGTGACTTTTTTATAGCTGTAAGCATCATGCATAGAAGGTGGTATGGGTAATGCTGTTCAGAGAATGTGAAATGGAAGGGAGCTGTGAGGGAAAAGGACTCAGATGGTACTAAGAACCTCATCTGTCTCAAGGGACTGGCGGAGAATGAACCTGGTAATAGGTGAACAGAAAGTGCTGCACCTTTCCAGAAGATTATAATGTGTTGAGAATTTGCACTTTAACTATGTTTGCAGTATTCAGATGCCCCCAAAGCTTCATGAGGCTTTGTGAGACCTGAAGGAACACAATAGATGTGTCAAAACTTTGTTTACCCTCCCTCTAAACATGGTCATGTGGCTGATCATCTTACTTGGAGTCTTCTTGGAGGTGTTCAGCAGAGTTTGTTTCCTAGACAGAAACAATCTCTCTGGTCACCCCAAAACTACATTCTGATTTTTAACTGACAACTACATATGTGAATTTACATGTAATACAATACAACAGTGCTTTTCTTCCTTATATTAGTCCAAAAGAAAGGAAATCCTCATTTAGTGGGATTGATTGAGCTGGTCTACCACGAGTTTTCAGTTCTCGTTCTTTACTTTGCAACAAAGAGATCTTGAGTGCCCGTGTTTTCTGTCCATTCCTCTCACACATCTCTAACTTCAGTATTTCATGTCCTGCTAAGGAATTTAGTCCCACTGACATGGTATTAGCTGTTACATCTACATTCTGCAATACAGAGAGTAAGAAGAGGATCCCTGTAAAAATCTGTGTTTTCTTCTAGATCAGTGATCCAGACATCCATCCATTCCTTAAAAGACTACAGAAATTGTGTATTTAGCCCCTTTCTACAGAAAATAGAAGAGATGACATTGGAAGTAGAGCCTGTGAACACCATGGCATTGTATTGAGTTTGTGTGGACAGGTTATGGTAGTGGTGGGGGCAGCTACAGGGAGAAGCTTCTTTTGTGAGAAGCTGCCAGAAGCTTCCCCCATGTCTATCAGCACCATTCCCTGGTGGCTTCGCAATGGACCAAACACTGGCCAAGGCTGGGACAATTAGAAATGGTGGTAACACCACTGTGATAACATATTTAAATAGAAAAAAAACCAACCAACCAAACAAAACAAAACAAAAAACAAACAAACAAACAAAAACAAACAAACAAAAAAAAAACAAACCAGGCAAGTTATTGCACAGTTGTAATTGTGACCAGGGAAGAGCAGAGGGAGAATATGTGAGAGGAGCAGGCCTGCAGACACCAGCCAAGGTCAGTGGAGAAGGAGGGGGAGGAGGTGGTGGAACAGAGATTCCCCCTGCAGCCCGTGGTGCAGACCATGGTGAAGTGGCTGTGCCTCTGCAGCCCAGGGAGGACCATGGGGATGCTGAGATCCACTTGCAGCCCATGGAGGAGCCCACACCAGAGCAAGGGGATGCCTGAGAGGAGACTGATCCTGTGGGAAGCCCATGCTGGGACACGGACCTGGGTGGACCTGCAGACCCATGGAGAGGAACCTAAGCTGGAGCAGGTATCCTGGTAGGACTTGTGGTCATGTGGGGGACTCACACTGCAGCAGCTTGTCCTTGATGGACCACATTGTCTGAAAGAGTGACACTGGAGCAGTTTGTGCAGAACCGTTGCCATGAGATGGATTCATGCTGAAGTTCATGGAGAACTGTCTCCCATGGGAGGGACCTCAAGCTGGAGCAGGGGGACGGACTCCTCTTCCTGAGCAGTGGCAGGAAGAACCAGTGATGGTCTGACAGTAGGCCCCATTCCCAGTCTCCCTGGGCTGGTGTGGGGGGGAGGTAGAGCTGGGAAGGAGGGAGGGCTGGAAAGAAGGTGTTTTTAAGACCTTATTTTTTTTTCTCATTATCCTGCCCTGATTTTGTTGGTAATATATTCAATTAACATTTCTAATTCTAGCCTGTTTTCACAGTGATGATTTTTAGTGAGCAATCTCTCCCAGCCCTTATCTCAACCCATGAACCCTTCATTACGTTTTCCCTCCCTTGTCCTTCTGCAGAGGGGAGTGACAGAGGGCTTTGGTGGGTACCTGGCATCCAGCCACAGTCAACCCACTACAGTCATATTGTATTCCAAGACCTCTAGCAATAATGCGAGCATGCTAATTCTTGTTTAATTGATCTTCTTTATTCTTTAATGGACCTCTTTACTCTTTGATCCATGGGTATACCCCTGCAGCATTGCAGTGTTGATGCTTTTCCACAACAGCTACAGGTTCATTGTTAGACTGCTGCCATGGTCCTCAGAATCTGTTGCTGCTGACTTTGTGATGCTTCCAGATTTTGTTGCTTATTGTATGCCTATTGATTTGTAAAAGTCTTTAATTTTGTGCATGGCATTTACTTCTTATTCAGTAGAAAAAGTCTTCCCCTCTCTCTGCAGGTTTAGTGAGTAGCAGATGTACTTTAGCCAGCATAATTTATGATTAGTTAATTTAATCTGCCATAATGACATAAAGTGAGCCTGAAACAAGCTTCTATCAATTTTGCCATTAGAAGTAGCATAATATTTTCAAATGTCTACAAAACTGAGTAATTAACCCTTGGGCTGAGTAAAGGAGTTTAACAGACATCTCCCTCACATTCCTTTGCTTTGACAAAATGAAAAAAAACATGGGAGCCCAAGGGTTAAAAACACCAGGTGAGGTTTTACAGTATGTGAGACTGGTTTTATAAGTTTGGTTCAGAAACACACTTGAGTTGCTGCTGTTTCTTTTTAGGCTGCCAAATTTCTCTCCAATGAGGCACGTGATTTACGCTGGAGCGTTGCTGGAAGTGTTGGCATGAAAAGGATAGCTATGTATCAACTATCTATCCCTCAGTTCATTGTTTTTCTCTGTTTTGTAGCATTACAAAAAATGGGTGGCTTTTGTTTAAACAGCAGCTCAGTGTGTGAGATGACCATGATTCAAAGCTTTTGAAAGGGCAGATGCATTCCTCAAAATAATATTTTTTGGAAAAAGGGTTTATGTTAGATTTCAGCTCTGGAACTTTAAGCTGTATTGTTTCTTACTTCTTGTCCTGTTTTGTAAATGCAGAAACTGAGAGCTGAGGTTGGCAAGAAATGCATGAGGGGAGATCTGATAGATTCTTGCAAAGAAAGCATTAAGCAGATGTCAGTGTTCTGTTAACAAATACATTAAAGAATATTAAATTTGGAAAGCTGTTTTGTGTGACCTGCCATGTAGACACAAGGATTTCAAAGGCCCCAATGACATTTGCTTTCAATAAAGAAAAATAAACTCTGTTGCAAGAAAATCAAAACTTGAGACTGTGTTGTGGTGGAAACTGAGGAGGTATAACCAAGGCTGGATATTCAGAGCACCACAGAAAACCATTTGTCATGAGACAATGCAGGGGCACACAGGCTTATGGGTGGAACTTGATCTTACAGGGCAGAGAAATATGCAAGGAAATACCTGAAATAATGCTGACTTACTGTGTTTGTTTAAAAATGGGGTGCTCTCAAAACATGACAGACTGCTGAAGATGGAGCAAACAGTGGTGATTGGAGTGAGATTGCACTTGATGGGCTTTTGGCAACATAATCTTGCTATACACTAATTTAAATTCCATGGAAAAGTACTATCAGTACTAGAATTTTTAGCTGTTTCTGAACTGAGATAACAAAAGTGACTACTCAGTTTTATATATAAAATTATTAAAAAAAACTTAGAAAATTATTTCTGCAAAAAAATTAGATTTTTTTCTGCAAAATTATTAAAATTAATTTTGCAGAAAAAATTAATAATGGGGTGACTGAAAGTTTCAGTACTGCCCCACAAGCTAAGAACATCTTTCCTGTTTGCCTACCCTCCTCCCGCAGCTTGGTTAGTATTCTTTACTGGGGGTAGTTTGTTCACAGCCTCCATCTTTCTCTTCCAGTTTCAGCTGCTACATTTACCCCTCTGTTCAGTGCATAGCACCTCGCAGGACTTGATCATCATCACTATATAATCAGTTTTGATCCATGACCTCAATGTGAATTACTCAGGAGCCTCTGAATGTAAAGTGCAAGTTTTGCTCTTCAGTACCGGCAGCTGAGTTATAGCAGTAAGAAATGAGCTATTTGTTGCAGGTGGATAGTAATAAAATGTTGTCTTTCATCAA